TCAAGTCCAAGGTAAAATGTTTGTTTTGTAGGAGAAAGGAATGGAAAGATTTGTTTATACGATAAAATGAAGTAATTGGGAGGAGACTTTCCTGGAGCCTAAATAGAAACTTACAAATAAATATGAAAGTTTCCATGCTGTAAATCGCATGGAATGCTCTGAAATTACAATGGCTGCACTTCATTGGCTGTAAAATACTTTCAAATTTGCAGATCTTATGAAAGGTACTATATAAATGCAAGTGTTTCATCTCTCTGTTTGTGGAAACCCATCTTTAATCAGAATATAGAGCCACTGAGTCATAGAGATTTACAGCACAGAAACAGACCCTTCAGTCCAACTTGTCCATATATCATAGAATCATTACAGTGTGGAGATCGCCCCTCCAAACAGCATCCCACCCAGGTCCATTCCCCTAATTTCCCATATCTAACCCACCTAACCTAAACATCCCTGGACACTATGGGCAATTTAGCATGGCCATTCCACCTACCCTGCACATCTTTGGATTGTGGGAGGAAACTGGAGCACCCAGAGGAAACCCACACAGACACTGGGAGAATGTGCAAACTCCACACAGGCAGTCACCTGAGGCTGGAATTGAACCCAGGTCCCTGGCGCTGTGAGGCAACAGTGCTAACCACTGAGCCACTGTGCTGCCCATATCCTAAATTAATCTAGGAACAAAAACAAAGTTGCTGGAAAAGCTCAGCAGGTCTGGCAGCATCTGTGAAGAAAAATCCAAGTTAACGTTTCAGATCCGGTGACCCTTTCTCAGAACCCCAGAACTGGGGTTTCTTCACAGATGCTGCCAAACCTGCTGAGCTTTTCCAGCAACTTCTGTTTTTGTTCCTGATTTACAACATCTGCAGTTCTTTCTGTTTCTAAATTAATCCAGTCCCATTTGCCAGCATTTGGCCCATATCCCTCTAAATCCCTCCTATTCATGTACCCATCCAGATGCCTTTTAAATGTTGTAATTGTACCAACCTCCACCACTTCCTCTGGCAGCTCATTCCATACAAGCACCACCCTCTGTGTGAAAAAGTTGCCTTGAGGGTCCCATTTACATCTATCCCCTCTCACCTTAAACCTATTCCCTCTAGTTTTGGACTCCCCTACCCTGGGAAAATAGACCTTGTTTATTCATCCTATCCATGCTCCTCATGATTTTATAAACCTCGAATTGTCACCCTTCAGCCTTGGACACTGCAGGGAAAATAGCTCCAGCCTATTCGGCCTCGCCGTATAGCTCAAACCCTCCAAACTGAGCAACATCCTTATAAATCTTTTCTGCACCCTTTCAAGTTTTACAATATCCTTCCTATAGCAGGGAGACCAGAATTATACACAGTCAATAGGCGCTCCTTCTGGTTAACCAGCCTGGGTTTTTCTCTGCTCAGAGGAGGTACAGCGATGCCAGCTATTTGAGATAACACAACACATGAAAGGGACTTCATTGGATTAAAGAAGTTTGCAATGCAAAGAGAGATCATTCATCCCAGAAGGTCTGTCTGCCTCTGTGTGTATCTGCCTCTGTGTGTGTCTATCTCTGTGAGTATCTCTGTGTGTCTGT